TGACTTTTAAACCGGGGCAAGGAGAACACATGACAAAACTAACCAATGAGAACATGACACACAGACAATGGAGCACATGACAAGATCACATGAGGGACAAGGAACACATGGGAAATGGAGTCCAGGAACAATAGCCAGAGTCTGAGGTGGAGTGCCCTCTAGAGGAGTTCGTGGGCACTCCAGCTGGCGATCGTAACACCTGTATTTGAATGCACAAAATCAAATCATTATGAAATGAACAATTGTGAATCAAGCATGTTAAGTTTAATACATTTGAATATGAAAAGAAAATTACTCTGCAATGGTTTTCTTACAATGTACGAACAGAATATTAAAATTTATCTATTTAGCTATTGCATTGTACAATTGGCTGCCCATTTTGCCACACTGGCGGGTTAATTCAACTCATCAAATAGCTTTAGTCTGTTTAACTTTCCCTAGCCTAAAACTGATACAACAATAAAGTTATCAGAAACAGGAAAATGTTTAATTTATTGTTAGTACTATACAAATTTGTCTCAAGCCTGATTGCTTAAAATTTATCACCGTAAGTACTTATATACTATAGTTTACAGGTTTTACCTTGTCTTTTCTTACCTTTTCAGGTGAATAGACCTTGACGAAAAAATATTAGCCAAACTTTGACAAGTTTATTTGCTTATTTTTTTTAGAATTTAAAAGATATTACTAATACTGTTTTTAAGTAACATTCATATTATTTTCATATCCCTCTTGCCTGGTCTGCATACTTATGTACTACAGAAAAAACATACAGTAAGGGGAGATAAGTATTTGGACTTTTGGAGAATTTAATCTCATCTGGATCTGAATATGGGGAGATGAAGGTTTCAACAAGACAGTGACCCCAAACATACAGCCAAAATAACTAAAGGAGGCCTTGTTTTGACAATCTCCTGACTTGAATCTTTGGAGGATTTTGAAATTGTGAGTCAATCAGAGAGAGCTAATTACTTCTTACCATAGTACTATAATTGCCAACAACAGCTTTGCAACAAAGAACTAATGTTGGCAATTTGCAGATTGCAGATTACAAAATCATTTTTTTAAACATCTTTTTGTGCTTATCAATATATATTCTTTCTTCATATTTACAAGTACAATGTCAAAAGACAATATGGACGTATATAATAAAAAAGATGTCTGAATATTTATTTCCTCTTATAGTATAAGGGAAGGACTGGTATGTGCAAACTATTCACATGCTTTGTTCATAATTAGAAAAAAAAAAATTCAGCTAGATGCATCTTTATTTTCTGGTATATAGACACTATGGACTTTTCTGGGATGTCTCTGATCAAGTTGAGGAAAGAGGAAATGGAATCCCAGGTTTGTCTTTGTCTTGTTCTTCTTTGTTAGTTTTTCTTAAAAAAAAACTTTTATAAATGTTTTATATAAAATAGTAATTCTATGAGAAGAGTAAAATGAATAAGATTGTAAAATTGATAACTTTAAGACCAAGCAATTAAGCAGGAAGTTGTATACTCTTTGTAATC